TTAACGCGGAGAAAAACACAACGATGGATGAGGCGGGAACAATGAATGGAAGGAATTCGAATTGATTTGATGGCATGGCTCAGTCTCTCAGGCGTGGTCTATCTGTACAACTTGCTTTTACTCATATTAAATATATTGCTCCATCTCCATCCTGAATGTGTTCTCCATCATATAATGTTAATTGTTATGATACCGTGAGACAGTGTAAACAACGATGTGACTTCCGTGTAAAATCTTATAGATTAGGCAGTTGCATCATGACAAATCTGCAATTTTAGGATTAGGTCTACTATGAGAGCAGTGCTGATATCATAGTAGACCATAATTCTACAAATACGCATAACAGTAGAAGTCTGTGGCACCCATGCCGCTCTTGTAATAAAAAATGCTAGTCTCAAAACTCTGACTAAGGGTTCTGAATTCCATGCACTCACACTGGTCTTTTATTCAACTATGTTGATGTGGGCTTAATTATCAACCTCGCTTGGCGGCCTTATAAATTTCTACATTTGAGCTCATCTTTTGTTTTCAGTAAAGAACCTGCTGACATGAAAGTAATGACAACAAATAGATGAATATTGTGAACATGTGTATAAGTTACACTAAGAACATACTCTAAGCAAAGTACCACTACTACCTGGAGACGGTTGTCATGTACGCCTATTTTACAAACTCGATTGAGCTTTATTATCTCGACTGTTCATTTCTTAAAGTTTCATTACATTAGAAAGCTCAATTAGAAGGTGAAAGGAATAAAAACAGCAGCTTCATCAGCTGCTGGAACATAAAAACTAAAGAGAGATGTATTTGAGTTGATTATTAATGAATTACAAGTAAATTTTGGTGCCAGAATTGAAATTACAATTCCTTGATATTCTAGTCTCACACGTTGGTTGCATTAATCGACGGTGGTTCAAGAGCGGTATATGGCAGAGTTTGGAATCGATATACACTTTGACACACCGTTCAAATATATCTCCTAAACTTTTCATTAGGCACCTCTGGTTTGCCTGGATTTGAAGTCGTTTTGTTAAAAGGAATTTCAGACGGTAACTTTCGAAATGCTGGATATCCACAACATTTTCATCGGTGATCCGAACGTGATTTCGTTGCAAATGGTTGATTGGATGCCCACAACTAAAGGTGTCTCCATTATAACTAGTGCGATCATAGTAGCCATCGAAGACTTACAACTATATTCATTCGGATGATTTGTTAACAACTTAAACGACACCGTCTATACCACAAAAGCAGTATCAGCGTCGCACATCGTCTTACCGTATGGGTTTTTTCCCATAAGCATTCTGGAACCAACAGTGCATTCTGTGTCTAAGTGTTTCGTCCCAGGATATCAGATAAGTATACTCGAACTACTAAAAACTGTTTTTATAATTTAATGAAGACCTCATATGGCAAGAAGCTCCTACATTATTATACCTAATAATATGAGAAATACAGCTCCTAACCTACACACTTTACCAAGAAGCTCTATATTCTGAAAAGGACAGTAAAGAAGCATTTGATAGAACATGAATGATTATTCGAAGTACTTGAATTTGCCGTACGAACTGGTAAATCCTGGAAGCGTCCGGTTCTTACTTCAAGTGTCAAAAATAGACCAGTATATGAGCCAGAGATAAATCAGTGTAAGCGTTTGGGGGTATTGTATTTTAGAACTTTAAACAACGCACCGAAACAGTTACAAGGGAATTTTGATGGACCAGACAACATGTTAATCCAAAAGATAATAACAGAGTTATTATTGACAAATAATAATATTTATATATATATAAGTTAAATGTTATAAACATAATAGAAATAAGGAAAATTACTTCGTTCACCAGGATAGTGCGTGTCCTAATTTGATCTGGTACTAAATATCCACAACTATAGACGGTTGATAATTCCAGTAAATTTGATGAATTCCCCAATTATATGACCCAACGTAGTATATGGCATATACTAATTACAGTCTGTAAAGGTAGATGGTGTTTGATTTAGTCTTCAGTTAACACAACCACAAGTGAATGTAGAACGAGAGGTATGTGCTGAACAATATATTTGTTAGCGGTCAACAAAGTGTCATGCTATGTGTGCAACACAACGGAAAAGTGTTCAAGGTCATACACTTAAACAACAGGAACAATCATTTAATGATAAATGTACATGCAGTGGAAAATCGACCAAATAAATACAAATAACATTAAAAACTATTTACAAAATAAGCTTGTCATACATATCTTCACATAATCATTAATTGACATAAATGATGCAGTACGATAATGAGGTGTTAGTGCAGATTGAAAGGCTTACAAGAATTGAAAAACAGTAGGTCTTACTCAATCGTTCAAGAAGAGGTTGTAAGTTTACATTAGGAACTTGTAGTTGCAGAATTCAACCAAACAAAGTTTAAACGATGTAGGCGACGAGGTCATCACATCTCAAGGCTAAGTAGCTGTAGTTTATTTAAAATCTTGTTCTACTCATCTGTAATGGTTTTTCAGTTCGTGTTTCCGTTCAGATCTTGTTTCTGCGAATAACCCTTCACCAACGAAGATGGTACCCAATAATGGGTTACACTATTTAATCTTCAAACATTCTGCAGAATTCTCACCCAATATTGAAAGATATCTCCGTATTTTAGGGAAAATGTTGTCCTGTTTGAGTAAATTGTGGGGAAACCGCTACAGAAATCTTTGGGAAGCTAGCACAAAACCCCGAAAACTCCCCCAGAATCCTATGACACTTCGTGGTTTTTCCCTAAAATTTCCCCGAACTTTAGAGGAACTACCACATTTCTTACGACAATGGAGAAACCACAAAACTTACTCAAAGTTCCTCGAAAATTTCCAAAGATAGTGAAATTGGTCGGTATCCTGTTGATGTTTCTGCAGAAACTCTAATCATGTTATAGGATGTGATAAGGCGTATAATGACAAAAATGGTGAAATATTTTAAGTCTAAAATATTACCTAACCAACTGTCGTTTTTGAATGGCTTGCAAGTCACACATGTCGACAATATGGAGGAATTTGTATCTTCAAATGACATCTGGTTTGACGCGTAGCATATATAACTTGATAGGTTTATGAACGGGATATAACGGCTTGAAAGATGCTGTTATGGCGTCAGAAACATATGATTCGGACCATTCAGCTTTCCAGATAGTTTGATAATGTGCAAACGAGGATTTTTATAAGTCGCTACAACAAGGCACAATACAAACAGCTGTTATTTTTCGTGTGAACTAATTAATCATACACATGCTTGAGATTCGTATATAATGATGATTTTAAGCCTTCGAATGAAATAAGTTCAATTATCTAGATATTTCATCTTTTATGCACAGCTTCATTTTGAGAAGGACAGGAGGCTAGAGCACCTCTGTTACTTCAGAAAATAGAGTTCCTCAGCTTAACGAACGTTCTATTAAAACATCGATAAATGGAGCTTAAGTCGACTGTCAAGTCAAGAAGTTCCAGTCATAGTGATTCATTGCGGAAGTCAGCAGTTGACTGATCTGTAGTTTGTTATGACCTTGTGAACTTGTTGGAATCTCGTCGTAAATCCTCCATCTCGAGAGTCAATCAAAGTGAGACCCTTTGAGATGCGAAATTATTATTAGACAGTTTAAGAATTGTAGCCAAGTCACTTCTAGCCTTCCTATATGACAAGCTGAATGGGTTTAGTTCAGCTAGTCTCTCGTCATACGGTAGCTCTGCGATTCCGAGAATCAAATTGTTTGTGGATCTTGGAGTATTTTTCAGCTACTCATCATCTTTTTTCAGGCTTGAGCTGACTGCTCGCGTGCAATAGTTGAATTTAGGACGAACGAACAGTATGTGTGAAGTCGAAGGTTCTATCATCTACGTGGCCAAAGGCTCTACTTATCGACCAGAGGGTTCTGAAAATTTTGGTAGTTTTCGAGACTTGACTGATAATGACTCCTAAATCAGTGTGTGTCTGAACAACAGGTAGATAGATATTATTCACCGTTTGTGTGTCCTTACCTTGGTGACCAATAAACACCATAGTGCATTTGGGAGGACTTATCGGTAGCGGTCAAATTCTAGACCATTCAGATACTTTCTGCAGGTACCACCTATACTTTCCATCTTTCTCCATACCTTGATATCGTCAGCATATAAGGAAACCGACGATGATAGGCGACCAGGTAGGTTGTTTGCATATAAGAGGAATAACACTAGCCCCAAAGCTGTACTTTGGGGCACTCCAATAAGCACAGTTTTCCAGCTAGACAACTTCGAGTCGACCCATACAGTTGAGTTGACGCCTAACCAAAAAATCGTTTATCCACATAAGCGGTTTACCTGAAATCCCGATATCACGACTTGGACAACAGCATGTTATCTGGAACTTTGTCAAGGGCCTCACTGAAGTTGATGAAAGCCACATCCATAGGTAACATTTGATATGTAAGAGCACATCAGCTTTCCTGAGCTACTAATAATTTCTTGAAACATAAATAACCTGTTTTAAAACCACACTGCTTCCAGAAAGAATCAGTTTACGTCTGGATACTTGTTTAAGTTCTTCCGAATGGCCTTTTCATGAACCTTAACAACCACGTTGGTTAGGCTTACGGGCTGATTGTTCTCAAGTGTTTTTTTGAAGACAGGACTTATTATGGTGTTATTGCAGTCCTTTGATTATATACTCTGGGTTACAGATGAAAACACATGCTTAAGTGATTAACGCCATTATCACTTATGTAGTTTCTTATTTTTCTTCGACGTATGTGCTGCCAAGTTTAACAGTAATGATAAATTCTTAACCGCTTGAAATTAGTTCCTGTATTAGGTTGCATGCTACAATGGCTTTCTTAGATCAAGTTCATTTTCTTGTGATTCAATAAGTTGCTTCTTATCTCTCATGCTCTATGTTCTGCCACATGGTGTTTTTGTTGTTACAAAACTGACCTAGTCTTTCCACAAACTCAACATTATGAAATATTCTTAATTGGTTTTTAAATAATATTAGATACATGTAAGTCGGCGTTTCCAGCTATTTTGAAGATGACTATTTCAAGAAACTTGCTTGTTATTTTTGCTTTCCTCTTCCTCGACATCGTAACCGTGAGTATGATTCTACCATGGATGCCTTCTCTTTTAGAAACATACGAGTCTGAAAAAGTAAGTTGCATTATTTGTATATTACAAAAGGAATGGTTTTATATTTTGTCCAAAAAATATGTCCAACACCTGGGTTTTGTTTTGGGGTTTCAAGAAGGTTCTACATGGGACAGAGTATTCATTGGAGGTATACTTCTCATTTTTTTTCTCTCAATTTTCATTTTAGGCCTTCTGTCGTCATTATCATCCTTAGTGCAATTTATATCATCGCCTATAGCCGGAGCTTTATCAGACTATTTTGGCAGAAAGTCGGTCTTAGTTGTCCTTCAGGTTTGTGGTGATGTAAACACATATATATGACTTGGTTGTTTTCATCTAAAGTTTTCCTGAGTAGCATAAAGACATCGTTTTAGGAAACGTCAGTAACAGTTGTGCAACTTGCGTATAATGTGGAAAAGTAACAAAGTTTATGATGCATCAGCATATCCTGTTAAAGTAACTTTAGCAGAATATACTTGGCGTGCAACTCAGTCAGTCAGCTGCAACGTAGGACCAGGCACGTATATGCATCGGTCCAAGTTGCCATACCGCATTAGCACAACAAGATGAACACCAGATTCATAGAAGTAGTTAATTCAGTGGTGGTAATATAGAAGAAAGAGTGTGTATAAGGATATAGTACAGGAAGATAGAATTAGTTCCTAGAAAGAAAGATTTGAAGTGATTTTAATCTCTTAGTTTAAAGGAAGACAGAGAGTGTATACACCGACGCCATTGTGATCGATTCTGAGCCATGTCACCAAGAATCTCCAACCATTGGTTACGATAGTCACGCGGACCCCAACCAGGCAGTCTGCATCTACCAACATGGCTCAGACCAGAAGTTAGTGACTTCAAGCACTGATGCAACGTTTTGGTTTGGCCGCCCCTAACTTTCTTCCAATCATCCCTAACACCGGTTAGCATTGCGCGCCGTGGTAATCGGTGTTCAGGCATATGCAGCACGTGGCCCAACCATCTCAGTCGATGAAGATTCATAACCTCATCAACTGATTTACCATCATTCCCTAATACCCTGCGTCTAACCTCACTATTACTTACCCGGTGATCCCAGCAGATACCCGCAATATTTCTAAGGCACCTGTGGTCAAATACTAGTAACTTACGAATATCTTCTACTCTTAAAGGCCATGTTTCGCAGCCGTATAGTAGAACGGAACGAACCAAACCAATGGTGCACATGGGCTCCAGTATCCTGAAGGAACAAATGGCGTATGAACCAATCGTTGGTCACCGGCTACCATGGGACTGCATCTCCTCACAATGCTCCACTGCCTTGTGGGTCAGACGTTCAGGTCGAAGGCTCGGGGTGTGGCCCCCTAAGAAAACCACCTGCTTCGGTTTGGGCACCCGGGCAGTATCACAGCCCTCACACAAATCAATTGAAATTCGTGTGGCGCATATGTACTTGGTGCCTCCCTGTAGCTATACTTATGTGTTAAAATAAATAAATAAATAAACGGAACGAACCGCCGCGCAGTATGCTCGTCCCTTAATTGATAGACGGATATCTCGCCTTCGCCATAGATGACGTAAGTTGGCAAAGGCCAAACGAGCTTTTCGAATCCGTGCTGAGATTTCGTCAGACACCAACCCATTAGGGCTGATCAGACTTCCAAGATAAGTGAAGTTGTCAACGCGTTCGACTACTTCACCCCCTACCCTTAGTTCAGGTGTTGACGCAGACCAGTCCTGAAGCAACAACTTGCGTTTGGAGGGAGAGAAGCGCATCCCAAACATTCTGGCATTGTTGCTCAGTGCTACCAAAAGACTCTGCATTTCATCAGCGTCTTCACCAAACAGGACTATGTCATCTGCGTATTCTAAGTCGATAAGTGGACCTCCTGGTAGGAGATCAATGCCCGAGAATTCAGTCGATGAGAGCGTTATTTCCATCAGTAAATCTATGATTAAGTTGAACAAAAATGGAGAAAGTGGACAGCCTTGGCGGACGCCACTTGAGGTTGCAAAAGCAGATGACAGTTCGCCATAGGCTCTGACTCAACTAGTAGTGTTCGAGTAAAGAGCCTTCACATGGTTTATGTACTTCTGAGGTACGCCTTTCAACGACAGACACTGCCACAGAACCTCTCGGTCTACGGAGTCAAATGCTGCTTTTAAATCAAGGAATACCACCATTGTCGAACGCCGATAAGTATGCCTGTGTTCTAGAACCTGACGAATGGTGAATATGTGGTCGATGCAGCCACGACCAGGTCTGAAGCCAGCCTGATTTTCACGTGTTTGCAGCTCACGAGTCTTAGTTAGGCGTCCGAAAATTATCGAAGCTAGTATTTTAGATATGATATTAGTTAAACTAATCCCTTTGTGGTTGTCACAGGATGATTTTGACCCTTTCTTAAATATTGGGGCGATAAGTGATTCTGACTAGTTAGATGGAATAACGTTAACGGGGATCCACTCTAATAGCGCTTGTTCCGCCCTCATGCTAATTGCTATGCCTACACCTGCCAGTCCACGAGAACTAGCCATCGGGTCACCAGATACATGGAGGGTGTATCTCTTCGGCTCTCCGTTTTGCCGAGGTGAGGTCAAGTGAATGACCACACTAGGATCCTGTATGCGTGTTTCGGAGACACAGCATACACCAATGGTACGAGATTCTAAGGTTTTAGCCAAGGAAGCCTGCTGACCGATTTGGCATAGTGTGCGTACGTTGAAGGCTCCAATGTGTAGTTTTGAGCGAGGTTTCAGTAGACCTGGGACAGTGTTTTGCTCACAAGAATCGTTGGCTGTGGTGACACTTGAGGAGGAAGCCGAAAGAGGGAGTTTAGATTTGGAAATCGATGTAGGAGGAATAATAGGAATTGAAGAGGTAGGTTGATTATGAATACAGTGGTCTTGAGTTCTGTTAGAGGTATGAGGGCGGTTATCACTTCCCGGTTGCCCACACCGTGGAAGGGTTCTGCTGGAGTTACCTGAAAAGGAAATTGGATTAGAGGTGGTCTTAGTGACCCGAGAGCGTGACCGCAGTGCCCAAGGGACAGCTGCTTGAGGTCGGTCACACACAACCTTTTTATGAGTAATTTTTGTGTTAGCTCCGTACTTGTTGAGACCTTACCGCCGGAGACGGATATCCGTGGGATGAGGCGAGGTGTGCATTTTTAGGGTCGACCTTTTCTAACCTCACCCCTTCTTTTGGGAAGGCAGCATCGCTGTTATGCTGGTTGTCTGAAGGGAACACCTTACTGCTGTCACACCTCTGTACAGTCAGCAGTACGACTTCGCCTTCGGACCTTGGTTTTGTTGCTTTTAGTCTTACCGCTCTTCAACCGACCTGTCTGGCATGGTAGGACCTTGAGGAACGGTTGTTCCAGCCAGTATAGCTCAGTTGCTTCATCACGATAGGCAAGCCCGACCACCACGTCAAGGTAGCAACAACGGTCAGGTGGCGTGCAACTATAAATAACTATGGTAGAGTAGGTAGAGAAATTCGTAGATGTTTTAGTTGATAAGAATGATTTTATAATTTAAGGGCAAACTAAATCAATGCTGTTAAGATTCCAATCGTAGAAAAGTGGGAACAATTGCTAACTTATTGTGCCTTATTACTGCTATTAAGTTGTGAATGTGAAGTGAATTACATTGACTTACTGGCTTTTCTTAACGCAAACTCTTCAAAGCTATTCTTCTTTTAATTATGGCTGAAGTGCAAAAGATTAAATAATGATATGACTAATGAATCAAAATATTTCTCTTTCTTCAGTATACTACGATAACACGGTAATAAGACTGATCTGAGTTACCGAGTTCACAGTACCACTAGATTGAATAATCGAACGACCCACTAAATCACGTTACACCAGATACCCAACTCACGACCAAAAGCAAAGAGCCAGAGTAGCACTAGACAATACTTTATTCTACAAAATTGAATGCAGTTACTCTCGATGAGTCCGGAGTATAAATTAATAAGAGGGAAGAAAATGGAATACTTAATAGTCATTAAGCTGCACGCCTGTTTGTCCACACTCAGCGGCCAATCACACTTACTTTCTTTACATTCTTACTTCCTTACGCCTGTTATCCTTCGTGGAGGAAAATTGTCCTGCCACCAGCATTTTCCACGCAACACTTTCCTCAGGGATTCTTTTCATATCTGCTTCCGATTGCCAACACATTCTGTTCCTTGGTCTTCCTTTATTCCTGTTCACTTCAGGATTCCAAATGGGCGCTCGTCCCGTGATGCAATTTGATCCTTACAATGTATGTCCTATCCACTTGAGGCTTACTTACTTAAGCCTGTTACTTCCAATGGAGCATAGGCCGCCGACCAGCATTCTCCAACCCACTCTGTCCTGGGCCTTTCTTTCTAGTTCTACCCAATTGTTGTTCATCCTTCTCATGTCTGTCTCCATTTCTCGGCGTAATGTGTACTTCGGTCTTCCTCTCCTCATTTGGCCTTGAGGATTCCAAGTGAGGGCTTGACTTGTAACGCGGTTGGGTGCGTTCCTCAATGTGTGTCCTATCCAGTTCCAGCGCTTCTTCCTCCGATTTGTGTATGCATTTGTGGGGGAATATTGCACCATTTATGACCATTTTGTTGAAGGCATATAGATTTCCAAATCCCTCACCATTTTCGTTCCTTTCTCCTAATCCATGTCGTCCCATGATATCTTCATAACCGTTGGTATCCATTCCAACTTCGGTGTTTAGATCTCCCATTAGTGTTGTCATCATTTTCATTATATTTGTGTGTGGGCTGTGATACTGCCCGGGTGCCCAGACCGAAGCAGGTGGTTTTCTTAGGGGGCCACACCCAGAGACTTCGACCTAAAGGTCTAACCCACAAGGCAGAGGAGATGCAGTCCCATGAAGCCGGTGACCAAGAAATCGGTTCATACGCCATTTGTTCCCGTAGGATACTGGAGCCCATGTGCACCATTGATTTGAGATCCGGTTATAACGCCGGACGTTCGCTTTTCGACCTCTCACTTTCGTAAACAACACCCCCGCCACGAGAAGGCAGTGAGTAGGACTTCCCTGGCAGAGGCTAAATGCTCGTGGCCGTGTGAGAGTATTTCGAGAGGGTGGGTGAACCCACCCCACTCTTGGCCATACCACGGCTGTAAAAGGTCGGATCTACAACGCGTCGGTGAGAGCATTTCTGCTCTATGCTTGTGAAACCTGGCCACTCCGAGTTGAGGATGTTAGACGTCTCTCTGTGTTCGATCATCGCTGTCTCCGAAGGATTGCTAACATCCAGTGGCAACACCATGTTAGTAATGCAGAGGTTCGGCATCGTGTGTTCGGGCACAGAGACGATAATGCGATTGGTGTCACCATCTTGAAACACCGACTTCGGTAGCTTGGACATGTTCTACGAATGTCGTCGCAGAGAATTCCACGTCGTGCATTATTTGCCGACTCTGGGACTGGTTGGAAAAAGCGGAGAGGTGGTCAGTGTATGACATGGTGTCGTGGTATGAGAGGAAGATGCAAAGGGCTGGCTTCTGTTGGGTCCTTGAGATGGTGCAACACATTGGCTAGAGACGTTATGAGATATGGCTCAGAATAGAAGTCAATGGCGATCCTGCTTTAACCTCCTTTTACTTTCTTCATAAAAAGTGGCTTTATCCTCCTTAAATGTAAAATTTCTTCTGAGTGTACCTTTTCGTCTCCCCCCATTATTGTTCCTTTTTTAATTCTATAATCCCCTACTTTCCTTACTTTTTTTTCCCTTCTTAAATTCTCATTGTTTTGTGTGGCGCATATATTTTTGGTGCCCCCTGTACCAATATTTATGTGTTCAGATAAATAAATAAATAAATTACGATTGTCAGGTCCTTTCCTGAAAACCTCTCTATGATTGATCGCAGCCTCTCATAAAATTGATCTTTATTTTCGTCGTTGCTGCCATCGGTGGGTGCATAACAATGGATATAATTCATTGTGATTCCCTTCTTTTTTGCTTTGAAGGATGATTCTCTGGTCCTGGATCCGTGAAATTCCCATCATATAAGTGCACTTCGTACTTCTTTAGACAGCTTCAGAACGACTGCTTGTGAGTGCGGAGCATTTTGTTTTTCGTGACCAGGGTACAGCAGCGTCTCTCTTGAATATAATCTTTTCTGTCCAGCTTGGGTCCAATGGGTTTCGCTGATACCGAGGACTGCCAAGTTGTATCTCCTCATTTCCGTAGCTATTTGACTGGTCCTTTCGGATTCTCACATTGTCCGAACATTCCATGTACCCATATTAACTTTTGTTCTGGTTGTTAAAAGGTGCATCGGCCTCGTGACTTCCGAAGAATCTGGGCTCTCATCATGAGGCGTCATAATTCTTCTGCATGACGATTCTTCAACCTGGAGGGCACACTTTAAATGGTTTGATTAGTTCAACCTAGTTAGCGTTTTTATATCAATGTTGTTATCTACGGGATGGGGTTGCCTTCCTCATGCCCAACCCTCCTCTTTTGTGTGTGCATGGGACTGACAGTAACTCTAGAAGAGCTACAGGCGGAACAGTATTCACTCACTACTAGATAACATGTTGTGTTGAAGTACGATGTAATTAGTTTTACATAATGATTGTTTCTTCGTTACATTTTTTCAATTTTTTTCATTCAACAGATATCGCTTATAAGTGTTAATGTTCTCTGGTCAGTGTTGGGTAAGTCATTTCTGTGGCTACTGATGTATCGTGTATTGTGTGGTGCTGCACGAGCAAATGTCGGTGTTGTGTCAGCACTTGTTGGAGATATCAGCAGTGATAGATTGCGTACCAAAGGAATGGCGGTTGTTGGCCTGGCTTATGGTATCGGATTCACTGTAGGACCACCATGCTCAGTTATCTTACTTAGCCGGTGGAAAGTACATACATCAACTGAATACTTGAGCTGTATGCTGGGTTCTACATGTTTAATTCTTAATTGTATAAATCTGTTAATCTTGATCTTTGCTCTGCCTAGTTCATTACAAAAGGTACGTTTTCTCATTATATAATATCACGTTTCTGCAAATGATTCTTTATTTGACGCATTTTTATACATCATTAAGAAATTTTATTTTGAGCTTAATGTTTTAATAATTTTGTCCCTGGCAATTCCAATTAATCCGTCACGAAAGAATATATGCTCTAGGCAAATTTCTTGAAACTGAGGGTTATGCAGATTATGTATATGAAGTGAACACATCTCACTCTCGTATAACTTCAAAAAGTGGTATTACTGTATTTGTAAGAGTAGTTGTTTTGTGACATGTCTAGTTATAATTAAGCGGATGGTTGTGATTGTAGTAGTGTGAAAAACTCATCTACTTGTGTACTGTGAAGATATACGGCCTATCTAATTCAGATATTTTAAACATTTCTTTTAAACTTAATGACTAAGTTTATTATGTATTGACAAATCCATTATTTTCTCACGAATGACCAAAGACAACGTTTTAGTCGGAACAACATCTTACTTTATTTTGATCTCAGCTACCTACACCCTATGTGGTATTATTGATCTCATTATTAAAAGAAAGATTCTTCAATTTCCGGTATATAAATGATTTTGCAATGGTATGATGACTATGCAAAATGCACTTAACTATTCCAATGGTCAGCATCCAAGGTGACTTGTACTGTGCATCAACAAAATGCAAAGTACTACATTCAAGAGCCTGTGCGATGCATAGTGAGGTGTTTGTACACTTATACCTGTGGTGATGTAGAAAATAATATCGATTTACGAATAACTGATACCAAAACGGTTTATTTTAGTTTGAACCATCTTTGGAGCTGTCAAGACGTTAGTCAACATGTAAGGAGTTAGGTTTACAATGCGAATATATTGGCGGTTCTATCTACGCTTGTGAATCCTGATCATTTATAAACAAGATTTTTTGGGTCATTGTACCAGATCTTTGTCTCTGAAGAATTGTTCACACTCTAAAAACAACGTGTCAGCAATGTAGATGTCTGACTTATGTGTTGGGCGTTATTGATGTTAATTCAAATGTTTTCATAAAGGTGAAACATTTATTTTGGTGTTTTGTCGACATTTTGCACGAATTATTTTATTGATTCACTATGCTTTGGTAGCTGACTTTGTGGTTAGATGTAACATTGAGACTCAGCCAGTATTGACATAATGTGTTTCATTGAAGGACATTTACGTTAAATTAATATCGTTCAGTTCGTAGCAGTTCTGTGTGTGATCCGAAGGATCGTTCAAATCCGGTTTGAGCTGTTGTTACAAATACTTTGGAATGGAAGTCAAAAACCATCTTGGCGTAGTTTTCTGTTGTATTCTTCACGGTTGATAAGCTGCTCTATGTTAAAAAACCGTTCTCTTCTAACTACGTTTAATTCACACTATTGCTTTTTATTGTGTATGTATCATACGATTTCAACCGTTCCATCTTTGAGCAATATTATCATCTCTCTTTTCGAAATAACTCCGTCTGTAGCTCTTCCAGAGTTACTGTCAGTCCCATGCACACACAAAAGAGGAGGGTTGGGCATGAGGAAGGCAACCCCATCCCGTAGATAACAACATTGATATAAAAACGCTAACTAGGTTGAACTAATCAAACCATTTAAAGTGTGCCCTCCAGGTTGAAGAATCGTCATGCAGAAGAATTATGACGCCTCATGATGAGAGCCCAGATTCTTCGGAAGTCACGAGGCCGATGCACCTTCTAGCATAAAGCAGTGCATGGAGGACAGATAACAGACGGATTACAAGTGAGGACCGGAGTGAAACAAGGCTGTGTACCCCCTCCATTGCTCTTTCTTCTGGTGGTTGACAGGGTTATGAAGACCTCCATATCTCAGTGGAAGCACGGAATACAATGGACAGCTCGCATGCAACTAGACGACTCAAACTTCTCAGATGGCCTGGCTCTTCTATCCCATACACACGAGCGGATGAAGATGAAGACAACTACTGTAGCAGCTGCATCTTCAGCATTAGGCCTCAACATACACAAAGGGAGAAGCAAGATCCTGAAATACAACACGGAGCACACCAACTCAATCACACTTGATGGAGAAGCCCTGGAAGAGGTAGGGACCTTTACGTATCATGGGTAGTTCCTTCAACGGACATGGAGGATCTGATGCAGATGTAAAGGCGAGAATTGTCAAAGCAAGGGCAACATTCCCACAACTGAAGAAAATATGGGACTCAAAACAACTGTCAGCCAAAATCAAAGCCAGAACCTTCAACACGAACGTCAAGGCAGTTCTCATCTAGCCTTCTCCGTTTCAGTGCAGAAAACGATTCCAGCTTACACTGTCTGATTCATTTATTTAAGACATTCTCACTTTATATGCAAGCAAATCAGGCCGCATCACGCCATACAATAGAAAGTAACAATTATATAAGGTCAAACCAAAAGTGGTTGAGTGTGTGAGACTGTAACTAATAAATTGAGAATAACTTAAGAATAGTAAATCGTGTGATAATGGTCAATAGGTCAAATGAAAGCATATATATATATATATATATATATATATATATATATATATATATATATATATATATATATATATATATATATATATATATATATATATATATATATATATATAGTTACTTAACGATTACACAATAAGAATATATGTAGTAATAGTCCATAAATAAGTCCAAGCAGTTACTATCCATTTATTTTTCGTTAACATATAACACCCTTTTTAAAATCTGGAGCTTCGATCCTGATTTAAAAAATCTAGACAACTTTGAATCCTAACATCATTCTCCCCCACGAAATAAAGTTGGATCTTCATATTCCCAAGTTACAAATAATGTGGCTTTATTTCAAGCATATTTTTCACATATTTGCACTAAAAGCAACTACAGCATTTGGTATGAGATCATCCGAACTGTGATTACGTGTAAGTTCATTTCGAACTTGTTTCACACTGACTAAGTTTTCGACCAGAAACAAATACATTATGAGAAAAAAACGACATTTGCTATGACATCGTTAAGAATTGATTCTCCTGAAATATGCTCTTCAAATTTATTTAGAATCTCGTTAGAGAATAATGTATCACTAGGAAAATCAGCATCCATCAAAATTCCAGAATCTTCAATTCGAATGTGAAGACGGTCCTACTGCACGAAGCTGAAACGCGGAGAACTACCATAACCATCATCAAAACAGTACAGGTATTTGCAAACGATTGTCTACGCAAGATACTCCAGATCGGTTGACGGGATACTATCAGCAACAGTCTACTGTGGGAGAGAACAAACCAGCTCCCAGCTGAAGAGGAAATTAAGAAAAAACGCCTCAAGTGGATAGGACAATACATTGTGGAAATCATCAAACTGCATCACGAGGCGAGCGCTAACTTGAAATCCTGAAGGGAAACGGAAAATAGGAAGACCATGGAAGAGGACTGCCCAAGACAGAGTTGGATGGGGAATGCTGGTGGGCGGCCTATGCTCCTTCATAAGGGGTAACAGGCGTCAGTAGTTTCTTTGTGATTTTTCGTAGTTGTGCTACAGTATATTAATATTAAAGTTACAAAACGAGTTCGACGGACTTTAGTAGAATCGAAGTTGATAAAAAGCCCTGTGAACGGGTGAAAAATGTTTGTGTTTATTTCTATTTTTTCAGGGCGGAGATATCGGTCCATTAATCAACCAAGCAGTACGTTTATTAAATCCAGTGAAGTTGTTTTCTTTAACTGGCACAACGAAATATCATAAATGTGAGTTCAGTTTGTTATTCAAGTGTGTATTTTTTTCTGGGGCTTATCCTTTTAGTAATTGCCCTTATGCAATAGTCAGTTCGTAAAATTAAACACTAACCCGTATTTACCCAATGTCTTACGTAGATGAAAAATCTTTGCGTCATTTGGCATACTTTTGGTGCGGCTACTTGTGCGTATACTGCGGAATAGAATATACAATACTGTTTTTGGCTAGAATTCGCTTTAATTTCTCAAGGTCAGTTAGTTTCGTATAGGAAACCTCTCATTCTCATAAACATAACTGTTGGTATACGGTGGTCGTGTTTTTTGTTTATTTAGGATGAAAAAAGTCACCAGTTTGTAGGTGAGTAGTTAATTGATTGCATCAAAATCGAAAAAATGTTACCATTTGCCCATACCTATTGATTTATTGTGTTGAATTTATTCCATATATTTTAAATAAGCTCCACTTATATATATATATATATATATATATATATATATATATATATATATATATATATATATATATATATATATATATATATATATATATATATATATATATATATATATATATATATATACGCTTCTGAACATGAATCTACTGTTTAACTCTTGTTTCATACCTGGATGATCGAACGTAGGAAAAAAGCGAAGTTGATGGTTAGAATGAGATAAATGTTATTTTCCCTAACATTCAGCTGTTTTTAAGAATTGAACAGCAAAATCATTATTGGTTTGAAAGTTATTTCTTCATTGGTAATAAGCTACTTATTAGTGCATTTTGATTAGCTGAATGTGTTTTAACCCGTTGTATTGGGATTTGTTGCTTAAATGTGAAATCCTTGTTTATAAAGTTTATTTCATTTTGAAATTTCTAATTTGCTAGTCTAGTATGTGTACATACCACTTTAGTTTTTCTGACGAGTTCTCTTATTGTATCATTTCATCTTCGTTACTAGCTCTGATCAAGGCAAAATGTTCGGCTTTATTGGGATAATAATGATTCTAGTTCAAGGTAAGCTGCAAAAAACATTCAAACTGAACTACTGATTAGCGAACTTATAACATTTTCAATTTCCTGTTTGTTTACTTCATGATAAAGCTTACATATCAACGTGCTTTTTCAATTTCTAACGTCTTTGAGGGATTTAAATGAACCTATCTAGGAAATCAACAGAGCTGTGATGATCTGCACATTTTGATGGTTGGTGAGTAGATTGCTGATTTTCCTAATTAGTAGTTTTGGAAAATATTTAAAGCAATTAGTCCCTTGTATAAATTTCGATAGAACAATGAGAAGACGGAGTTGACCTGAAAAATGTGATGTACTTGCGCTTTACATTTCGAATAATCTGGTGACACATATACTTGTCAGGGCATTTTATATGAAAATTAGATGAAAGTTCAAGTAGAAAAGGTAACAAAGGGGAGAGAAACAATTTTACATCATATAGAAGGAATGAGAAATTGTCGCGTTATCCTAAGCCATAGAATGACTTAAGGATTACCAGGGTAAATTCAGGCCTACGACAAATTGTTTTTGTACACATAAAGGGGGGGGGGACAAATTTACAAATAGCCAAGGCTCCAATAAACCTGTGAATTTGTCCTCGTTTTGAACCCCATTACTTACTTACTTACGCCCGTTACTCCTCGCAAAGGAGCATAGGTCGCTCACCAGCATTCTTCATTCAACCATGTTCTGCGCAATCCTTTCCAGTTCTTATTCATCCTTTTCATATCCGCCTCTATTTCCCGACGTAATATGTTCTTTGGCCTTCCTCTATCCCGCTTTCCTTCAGGATTTCAAGTTAGCACTTGCCTCGTAATGCAGTTTGATGATTTCCTCAATGTATGTCCTATCCATTTCCATCGTCTTTTCCTAATTTCCTCTTCAGCTGGAAGCTGGTTTGCTCTCTCCCACAAAAGTCTGTTGCTGATGATATCCGGCCAATGGATGTTGAGTATCATGTGTAGACAGCTATTAATAAATACCTGTACCTTCTTGATGGTGGTTGTTGTAGTTCTCCAAGTTTCAGCTCCGTACAGTAGAACTGCCTTGACGTTCGTATTGAAGATTCTGACTTTGATATTGATTGAAAGTTGTTTTGAGTTCCATATGTTCGTCAATTGGAGGAATGTGACCCTTGCTTTGCCAATCCTCGCTTCTACGTCTGCATCTGAACCTCCTTGTTTACCGACGATGCTTCCCAGGTATGTGAAGGATTCCACATCTTCCAGAGTTTCGCCATCAAGAGTGATTGGATTGCTGTTCTCCGTGTTGCATTTGAGGACCTTTGTTTTCCCTTTGTGCATGTTGAGGCCTACTGATACAGAGACTGCTGCCACGCTGGCTGTCTTTATCTGCATTTGTTCGTTTGTATGCGATAGGATGGCTAGGTCATTTGCAAAGTCCAAATCGTCCAATTGGTTCTGAGCTGTCCATTGTATGTTGTGTTTTCCCTCAGATGTCGAGGTCTTCGTAATCCAGTCGACCACCGGAAGCAAAAGGAAGGAAGCGAGTAGACAGCATTGTCTTACTCTGATCCTTACTCGGAGTGCATCTGTCAGCTGTCCTCCATGCACTACTTTGCACTGTAGTCCGTCGTATGAGTTCCGGATAATATTGACAATCTTCTCAGGAACTCCATAGTGTCGAAGAAGCTTCCATAACGTCCTCCTATCTATACTGTCAAATGCCTTTTCATAATCAATGAAGTTGATGTACAGCGACGAGTTCCACTTAATTGATTGTTCGACGATGATCCGTAGTGTCACAATTTGGTCTGTGCATGATCGATCCTTACAGAATCCAGCTTGTTCATCTGGTTTCCTCAGTGGTCCAGTAGGTTAAGCGTTCGCGCGCGAGACTGACGGCCCTGGGTTCGAATCCTGCGAGGCGGAGTTTTGTATGCACACTGCTGAGGAGTCCCGCTATAGGGCGTAACGGCCGTCCAGCGCTCCCAGGTTTTTCATGGTGGTTTAGCTTCAATTGACTAAAGTGAAATATACATGAAGTTAATTTTCTGGGTAATTCTTTATCACATATAACTAGTATATCATCCATGTGTCTCCTATACAAAGTTGCCTCGCTAAAGAGATAATATATTTTGAATTAGTGATCAGAATTATACGCTACTCATACGAACAGTAAAATAGGTTAGCTTGTGAAACTGTAGGCAAGTCGTACAAGCTTTAGTGTCAGAATCATCAATAATGGCCTAGAAAGCCTGTCTTATATACTTGTTACTGAGGTAACTGACCTACTTGGAGTTGGTTAGTCGATTACTTTCTTCTTTTAGGTGATTTACTCACCGAATCTATACCTAAGTAAGTAGTGGTACCTATTCTATTCCCTCCGAATCCCATACTTTTTAGAATTATCTAGTTTCTAAGTCTACACGTTGCTAGACTTTCACATTTTTCCAGTCAAAGTTATAGTTGTAGTTGCCTGCTCATGCTAAAATTATCAATAACAAAATGTCCTTTGGCTGCTACCGGACGTTCATAGATTGTTTTAACTTCCCCAAAATTCATTTGACAAATGGAGTAGTATCAACAGTCTTTTAAAATATTTTTGGAAATCCTATTGATGAGCTTTTCCTTTTGGGTAGTGAGTCTTTCAATTTTTATAGTACACTGGTATGCAAACTCACTGTACATTCCAGCTGGTTTTTCAGTGATGAACCGGTAGCGTGCTGTTGTCCGTTATTTCGATGATAATGAGCTTAAAACATATTTCAACTTAAAGATCAATTCATATTTTTAATAGTTTTACTAATAATCAGATTTTGGTCCATATCGACCTAGCGGAATGTCAACGATATCCAGCAATAGTAAAACATAACTTCGCAATCTCCAAAATTCATTAAAAATTTTAGTATTTTGTGTCTGTAAGTAAACAGCAGTATAACTTGTTTGCTCTGGCTTTATGTCATAATTTAAAATAAATATGACTTCAACTAAGATGATAAACAAAATCATGCATCGTACATTTGGATCACACTAAGCATTTATTATGTGAATTACTGGCTAAAGTTCATGACTCCTATGATGTGTTGATATATTTATCTCTACAAGGCATCGTACACGAAAAGGTAATTTATCTTGTTTTCTTCAAAACTAGGCTGCTTTATCCGTAGCTTCAAACTTGGTGGAGAAGACAAAGCCATTACATGGGTAAGTTCTGTTCGCATTATTTTAAAACTGAATTTCTCAGCAACTGCAGTAATGACTTTCGTAAGTGTAATGAATGAAGTTAACCTGTATTAGTTTTTTAGCTGTAAAATGTTTATTTTTTCTGATTCGAACAGTTTCACTGAATAATAACTTCGCTCGTTGCTCACCTAAAATATAACATCAACTGTTCCCGCAGATTTTGGCAAAAGTTAGAAGCTTTGGAAAATCATCGACCGGTATATGCCTCTTAAATGAAATATTGGCATTACGAGATACTAGTAATAACATCAAGGGCATAGATAGCCTATAAAAACGATAACACTTGCTATATATCTATCCGTAGTACACTTAAAATACAGCAAATTAAACAAAGTAACATTAAAGCCGTGCAGCAAGCTTCAGTGACGTGTATTCATTCATCTCTTATTTAGGCAATTACACACTTAATATTTCCGTCAGCAGTTATTTCGTCTCAACACGTATTTAAACACTTCAGAAAAGTGCGAACTCTTCATCGTCCACGAACATCACTTAACGTTTAAGAAAACAGAACCAGTGTTATTAATTTCTCCTGAGACGTTTACCATTACTAAATTCTTTCCGTCCCAATTCGTTACTTTCACTGCTTAAGATATTACGCTTTTGAAATGCAAAGGCGTAGAATAATATACTATCATATTAGATTTTACCCTTTGCTTTCCGGTTTTGTGTACAACTCAGTCAGTTGCTTTGGTAAACTATCGTTTGACCATTTGTCTCTCCTAGAAATAATCGCCAGTCAATATGTCTATTTGAACTCAATGTGTCATAACCCTATGTTTTCAGGAAAAAGGCACGTCCAAACTTAATATTTCCCAGTTAATACTTTAGCGAAGGCCGTTTTATAAAAGTTAGTAGGTAACTTCACTGAGTATCTAAGTATGCACCCAATATGATCATCAATAAATTGGTTAGTTCAGTATTATATGTGCTTTTAATGCTACCTGATCGACTCTTCTGGCCAATGATTTATATGTTGCTGGGGTTCGTGGATAATCTGATCACTTTGGTGGAGGTGGAAAAATATATAAGCCCCGCTTTGAAGTATAATGAATACTTAATTAACATGAAAGTCGACAGTTAATTATTTTTAAGCATTTTGACTAACGGTCATATAATTGTCATTTGCGTGGTACATAGGTAACAAAAATGTTCTCAAGTACATCACAGTATGTAGTCGCATTTCAAGGTTAATGTGTAGAACTGTCCAGCTAAGAATACTATTCATAAAGGAGGTTACTGTTAAATGGTATATCAGAGATGCAGATTATAGGGACACAGCACCCGATTATGAAAATTAGCTGATCGTCTGAGTTCATATGAAGTGACAAAAATAATTTTGCAATGATTATTCAATGCCTTTTTATTTATTTATTAATTTGAACACAAAAATATTGGTACAAAAGGGCACCAAATATATATGCGCCACACAAAACAATGAGAATGGGAAAAGAAAAAGAAGGTAAGGTGCGTATAAGGAAAAAAGAGGAACAATAACGACCACAGATTAGTTTATGCCAGTGTAATAATAATAGTAATGTGGGAAAAGGAAAGGTACAACCAGAAGAAATCTTTCAGTTAAGGAAGATACAACCACATTTCATGAAGTAGGAGAAGGTTACAGCAGGATCGCAGCTGTCTTCTATTTTTAGCCATATCTGATAACGTCTCAAGCCACTGTGTCGCACCATCTCTCGGACCCTAGCCAGGGAGTCGTGAAGGACCAACATAAGCCAGCCCTTTGTAGCTTTATCTCATACCACGACACCATGTCATACACTGACCATCTCTCCGCTTTCTCCAACAAGTCCCAGGGTCGGCAAATAATGCACGATGTAGAATTCGCCAGGACGACATTCGTAGAACATATCCAAGCTACCGAAGTCTATGCTTCAAGATAGTGGCACGAATTGAATTACCATCGCTGTGCCTGAACACACGATGTCGAGCCTCTGCATTACTAACATGGTGTTGCCACTGGATGTCAGCAATCCTTCGGAGACAGCGATGATCGAACACAGAGAGTCGTCTAACATCGTCAACTCGGAGAGGCCATGTTTCACAAGCATAGAGCAGAACTGCTCTAACCGATGCGTTGTAGATCCGACCTTTTACAGCCAGACTGACATCACGAAGGCGTCAAAGATGGCCCAGATTGGCATAAGCCCCTCTGGCTTTCACTATAGGTGAATCGGTCTCATCACTCACGCCACCACCAGCACTTATGCAGCTACCTAGATACACGAACTTCTTGACCACGTCTATCCTCTCACTATCCAGTGTGAGTGTAGTGTCAGCGTCCTTCCAGTCTTGTAAAAGTGCTTTGCACTTTGAAGGTGCGTGGCTTGGGCATTATCGCACAGTAAGACAATGTCATCGCATACCCAGGGTCGAGAAGTCTTTCTCCAGGCAACAGATCTACACCGCCATTACTCACATCCATCAGAGCTGTTTCCAGAATGTCATCGACGGCAAAGTTGAAGAGGAATGGTGAGATTGGGCAACCGTGACTAACCCCACTGCTTGAATGGAACAATGGAGAGAGGTGGTTGTATGCCCCCACTCTGCCTGAGGTGTTAGTATATAGGGCTTTTAAGATGTTAATAAACTTCTCAGGCACACCCTTCTTCAATAGACAATCCCAGAGAACAGTCCTATTCAACGAATCGAAGGCAGCCCTGATGTCAAGAAACAGTACGATTGTTGGCCTTTGATAAGTATGACGGTGTTCTAACATTAGGTGGAGTGTGTAGATATGATCAATACATCCTCGACCAGAACGAAAACCAGCCTGCTCCTCACGAATCAATCTTTCTCGGTTTTTGAATAATCTACGAAGTATGATGGAAGCCAATAGATTGGACGCAATTGGAAGTAGATTTATCCCCTGATATTTGTTACAGGAACGACGTGAACCGTTTTTAAAGACAAGGACAACTATCGACTGATTCCATGACGTTGGTACACTCTCTAGCTCCCAGACGTTTGTAAACGACACAGTTAGTTTCTTAGCCAGAAAGTCACCACCATCTTCAAAAAGGGCTGGAGATAAGTCATCTGCGTCTGGTGATTTGTAGCGCTTCAAGAGTTGGAGTTCCTTGTGGACTTTCGCCTCGTCAGATGGGTCAGTCGTCACAGGTCACAGATGATAGAAACCGATGTTTAGAGACCTTGAATGTTGTGGCTCAAAATCACTTGCAATGGCGCAGGTACATCCCAAATTCTAATCTTCTGAATTCTTCATGCATTTTTTTTACCTCCTTTCACACACACTTGGACAATTTTGAAGACGAGGCTAACCCAAATATGTTGGAAAAGTAAACACTGATAATATGTAAGAACAAAGTAATTAAAGCTCAGTTAATGAAATAAGAATACTAACCCAAACGTCAGTCGGAATAAAAGGACGTTATGATGTAATTAATTTTGAGAACGAGTTGAACAAATTTTCACGATGTTGTGAAGGAATATTTGACACCGAAACAAAGAAACATTAACAACAATCTGTTTCCAAACACATAAATCAGATTTCGGACACCTGATAGCAACGGCTTCAAGATACTGGAGCTTGGCTGCTGATTAGTCCCCATGAAACACTATAGGTTATCGACCTGATGTCCTGTGTGCAAGAGATATTTAGTAGGTGCATTTGTTCGAAGGCTTTCTGGAACATGTCTGATAAACTTAAGATATGCCCTTCGTTGAAATATAACGTCTGTCAGTATCAAGAAAGTGGAATATGTCATTATTTTCCTATTCTATAGTCAATTATACGTTGGGATGAGCATTAATGAAGAATCCCAACAGGTGGATAACATACTGTTTACTATTGTAGACAATAAACGTGTCATCAGCATAACTGTAGTAGTACGTCATTTCGTTAATTTCTTGTTTAAGCTCCATGTTTTCAAAATAACTCATGAGAACATATGCTATAATTGGACCTAATGGACTTACTATTGCTACATTATTAATTTTACGGTGTATGTTTATTGAGCCGGAGTTGAACGTCTTTGTGCACATATGGATGAATATCCCAAATTCAACAACGCAGTTCGGACGTCGGGTATTCGCTGTTCGTCCTCTTACCTCTAAATAACCCTACAAGGAAAGGTTAGTGAGCAAGAATTTCTTGACACTGGCTACAAACGTTTGGCCATATAAAAGCATTTTCGGAGGGACAGCTGATTGTCCCTACTCTTGGCTGTACCAGGGCGTTCGGAGGCGCAGAACACGATAAAATAGTCCACACGTTTAACTGCATATAAATTCGTTTTATTTTATGTAGTGATATAACCGTACTTTTTCAATCGAATGCTTACATCTCAAAAGTATTTCTTTAACAATATTTATACGCGGCAATTTCTCTCTATTTTCTTTCTTAACAGAGTTCTTGCTGTTTGATTTTGGCGTCTGCCATTTTCAGTTTCGCCACAAATATTTTCGTTTTCTATATCGGACTAGCTTTATATGCATTTGCATCCTCCATTTTCTTCCCGAGTGTAAACGGTTTGGTTTCTTTGTACACTACTGCAGAACAACAAGTATGTTTTGAAATATTTTTAGATGTGAGTGAAAAATTGCGTGTACCCTAACCACTTCTTTGTTATATAACGGAGACTTCCTAAAAAGCACAGATATCAGAAGTTCGGTTCAACTACTTAAATGATATTCATGATTAAGACAAATAAGCTGTTAACGTTTTCAATCTTGTTTTCAAGATAATGGGAACTTTGCAACTAACTCCTATTAAACACACACAAAAACCAGGTTTTAGCTTTCTGTTATGTCGCGTGGTACTCGAGACTGATACAGAAGGTTCTTGTATGTATCAGAAGTCTTTACCCACTCAGTGAATTAGAAAATTAAGAGAAAAAGAAGTTTATTGGGCTGAACCTAATCAAATGCTCATGGTTATAAATATACACGTTAGGAAATAAAATGATTTCTTGGCCAATCACACAAACCTATAACTAGATTTTTGGTTGGTACAGCAGAGCCTCTTTCTTTGGCCACTCTGGATTGAGCCGCTGTGGATAGCATCTTACAGTCTCATTCATCTGACGGGCATACCTGAACTATTTATTTACACTATGCAACGTGTCTTTTCCTTTCAAATATTTTACGGTATAGTATAGATGAGTCTCCTCACAATACACGTTTGGTAACTACAATTTTCCAGGAACATCTTTAGCTTTCACAGACAGAACCTCTGTTAATACAATGCATCGATCATCTGTTAGCTTTAGAAATGTGACAAAAATAATGTATCGCAGAACAGAGCTTTTTTGTAACACAATTAGTGTTTGCTATAGTCGGAGAATACTCCTATAAAAGTGCTTCTGTCTTCAGTTTAAGAAGCATCGTACCCTGTTGCAACATAATTAATAGAATTTCTGTTTAAAATGCGTTACATGATACTTCTTACTTGTTATCTAAACAACAGTATGTAGCGATTTTGAGATTAGTTTACATAGTCCTATACAACATTTTAGATTCATTTGCAAGTTTCGCTGTTTATCACCGTTAAAATTATTCTAAATGATGGGTCTTAAAAATACGTTCCTGCCACTGATAACAACCTACACAGCATTTTGTTTGTTCAAGTAATATTTAATGAGAGTCAGTATAGATGTAAAACCTCCAATTTTATCTGGATTTTAGGGGCAAACGTTGGGTATATTCCGTTCATTGAACGCATTGGCTCGTGTCATGGGTGCGTTGATTGTTACTACAGTTTTCTGGATTTATGGACCTAACATAACCTATATGTTATGTACTATCTTCTTAACTTTACTGCTTACTTACAAGAAAATTACTTTAGAAGGAACTAAATGTCAGTCCAAACGAACATACAAGGAAGAGTAAATCAGCAATAGACCATCAAGGTATCCTTTCTCAAAAACTGCTGTACAGTTATTACTAAACAGCTTTCTTTGTTATTAATTGATTCAGAATGCCGTGTACCATAACGGACAATTCCCAAAAAAGTTTGATAAATGCCATTGCTGTGAGAATTAATCGAATTCTTTAAAAATTAAAGCAGTGATCTAAAACGAAGGTTGTTTTTGGTACATAATTTCAGTCCTTCCACCTATGCTTGCTACCTCTCATGGAGGAGCATAGGCCGCCCACCAGCATTCCCCATCCAACTCTGTCCTGGGCAGTCCTCTTCCATGGTCTTCCTATTTTCCGTTTCCCTTCAGGATTTCAAGTTAGCGCTCGCCTCGTGATGCAGTTTGATGATTTCCACAATGTATTGTCCTATCCACTTGAGGCGTTTTTTCTTAATTTCCTCTTCAGCTGGGAGCTGGTTTGTTCTCTCCCACAGTAGACTGTTGCTGATAGTATCCCGTCAACCGATCTGGAGTATCTTGCGTAGACAATCGTTTGCAAATACCTGTACTGTTTTGATGATGGTTATGGTAGTTCTCCGCGTTTCAGCTTCGTGCAGTAGGACCGTCTTCACATTCGAATTGAAGATTCTGGAATTTTGATGGATGCTGATTTTCCTAGTGATACATTATTCTCTAACGAGATTCTAAATAAATTTGAAGAGCATATTTCAGGAGAATCAATTCTTAACGATGTCATAGCAAATGTCGTTTTTTCTCATAATGTATTTGTTTCTGGTCGAAAACTTAGTCAGTGTGAAACAAGTTCGAAATGAACTTACACGTAATCACAGTTCGGATGATCTCATACCAAATGCTGTAGTTGCTTTTAGTGCAAATATGTGAAAAATATGCTTGAAATAAAGCCACATTATTTGTAACTTGGGAATATGAAGATCCAACTTTATTTCGTGGGGGAGAATGATGTTAGGATTCAAAGTTGTCTAGATTTTTTAAATCAGGATCGAAGCTCCAGATTTTAAAAAGGGTGTTATATGTTAACGAAAAATAAATGGATAGTAACTGCTTGGACTTATTTATGGACTATTACTACATATATTCTTATTGTGTAATCGTTAAGTAACTATATATATATATATATATATATATATATATATATATATATATATATATATATATGCTTTCATTTGACCTATTGACCATTATCACACGATTTACTATTCTTAAGTTATTCTCAATTTATTAGTTACAGTCTCACACACTCAACCACTTTTGGTTTGACCTTATATAATTGTTACTTTCTATTGTATGGCGTGATGCGGCCTGATTTGCTTGCATATAAAGTGAGAATGTCTTAAATAAATGAATCAGACAGTGTAAGCTGGAATCGTTTTCTGCACTGAAACGGAGAAGGCTAGATGAGAACTGCCTTGACGTTCGTGTTGAAGGTTCTGGCTTTGATTTTGGCTGACAGTTGTTTTGAGTCCCATATTTTCTTCAGTTGTGGGAATGTTGCCCTTGCTTTGACAATTCTCGCCTTTACATCTGCATCAGATCCTCCATGTCCGTTGAAGGAACTACCCATGATACGTAAAGGTCCCTACCTCTTCCAGGGCTTCTCCATCAAGTGTGATTGAGTTGGTGTGCTCCGTGTTGTATTTCAGGATCTTGCTTCTCCCTTTGTGTATGTTGAGGCCTAATGCTGAAGATGCAGCTGCTACAGTAGTTGTCTTCATCTTCATCCGCTCGTGTGTATGGGATAGAAGAGCCAGGCCATCTGAGAAGTTTGAGTCGTCTAGTTGCATGCGAGCTGTCCATTGTATTCCGTGCTTCCACTGAGATATGGAGGTCTTCATAACCCTGTCAACCACCAGAAGAAAGAGCAATGGAGGGAGTACACAGCCTTGTTTCACTCCGGTCCTCACTTGTAATCCGTCTGTTATCTGTCCTCCATGCACTGCTTTATGCTAGAAGGTGCATCGGCCTCGTGACTTCCGAAGAATCTGGGCTCTCATCATGAGGCGTCATAATTCTTCTGCATGACGATTCTTCAACCTGGAGGGCACACTTTAAATGGTTTGATTAGTTCAACCTAGTTAGCGTTTTTATATCAATGTTGTTATCTACGGGATGGGGTTGCCTTCCTCATGCCCAACCCTCCTCTTTTGTGTGTGCATGGGACTGACGGTAATTCCAGAAGAGCTATTTAACTAAGTTATGTCCCTACGTTTGTATTGAGACTGATTTTACGGAAATAAATGTGGGATTGTCAATGGTTGCTTATTATGTTATTAATAATTAAGAGGTCACATCTAAGTCGCTTATACTCTAATGGCCAAAGATCTTCCGAATTGAGGCGCCGCTAATTCGGTTTGAATTTTGTCCTGAAACTATTTATTCTGCTCACCTTTAGATAAGTTCAACTTTACTCTCATCCTCTCCCAAATTGTGGAGAAAAAGTACACTCCTATACTCTAATTGAGGCTGTTTCCAACTGTTAGGAATTCAGTAGATCGTTCAATCTCCAAACTTACCCGAAGTGTTCTCCAACGTTATTACTGGACGTTCTTCTCGCAAGAAATTTTTTTCACAGCTAGAGTAGAATCTTAGAATATAGGATATCAATACTCTATTTCGAAATAAAATACATCCAGACGGGATCCACACAGTTTGTATGCGTATTTTCCGATACATCTCAGATGAATTATTTAGCACTTTGTAGTAATGAGTTTAAGTCCGCTGTTATTTGCTCAACTTATTCTGCGAGTCAGATCTAAAACAGTCGGCTCATCGTTTCAGTTGCAAAGTTCTCTCTAAAGTTTAAAATTGCTAACAAAACGTAATAAACTAGACGACACTTACTGAGGAGGGGCACATATATAAACAGAAAGAAGTTTCGGTACCAAATATGGGACGACGCGCGTAAGAGGAATGGTTCCAACCAAAAGAATTGAAGTCATTTCGCCTAAGAAAAAGACGAACGCCGCTAGCATTCAAGCAACATTTTCTTAATTTTTTTGGAAATAAGCAAGAAATCAAAGCCCGCATAGGTGTCGTTGGCAGTCACATATGATGAAATAGATATTATTTAATCCTACCTATGTAACTCTCATGACACTAGGTTCATGGAATATAAGTTCTTATATTTTTGTTCACTCAGACTCGAGTCCCGTATTCTTACACCATACCAAATTTCTCAATTGACCATAAACAGGTTATCTTTCACCACAGTAAATTATATTATCATAGCATCCGAACGTGACTGAAAACATTAAACAGTAGTCAATAATGAAATTGGCTGTAAAGCCTCATTTTGTCCCAAGGCGTGATCTGACACCGTAAAGCACATCAGAGGCGAATGACTACCAAACACACCGATTGATCACCGACGTAATTGCAAAGTTATAGAATAAAAACTAAATGTCAACACATCAGCTTCTAGGCCCCCAAGTTCCCTGCTACGGTCGAGGGTGGGAAGACAACTTGTGGTGGCATTGGTGTTAGGGTTGAATCTTAACGAGTTCACTTAAAATGCGAACGAGAACGAGGTTCGATGACCAACGACCAGTGAGCTAGCTAATGACGCGTCACAGCCCCACTATCTAGGGAGAGAAGACCAGGCTTGAAATGACAGTACATTCTGCAACAACCAAAAAACCAGCAAACCTTTTCTTACAAGACTATTTTAATAACGTATATATACAAATATATATATATATATATATATCGATATTGCCATGGAACTTTTAAACATTTAATCGACATTTCTTCAATTGACTGCCATTGAAATATTTAAACATTTAATTGATAAATTCGTCAATCAACTATGCGCGTGGGTGGTAAGAAATGCTCACGTATACATCTGCATACGAGCTTCACAAGATGAAATTACAAACTATGAGTTTTTGGGGATCTATCGTCTCCAACAATTAGGTCCTAACACAAGACAATATGGGAAATAAATATTCAAAATTAACACGGAGAAGAGCCCAACGATGGATAAGGCGAGAACAAGGAATTGAATTAATCGGAGTTGATCGGATGACATGGCTCGACCATGCAGGCGTGACCCCTACTGAATGTTACCTTAAATCTTTTATTCATAATAAATGTATCCCAAAGTGCGGTACGTTTGAAGTTTTCGTTACGATAACACTATTTAATATATATTGATTGTATATCGTTGAGTCCTAGTTTATAACTCATACATAGCTTTAGAATTCATATTATAAACAATTTGGGTCGACTGCCAAAAAAACGAGCACGGAAAAGCCCTAACTCTTCAGATATTAACAATTCTGTTATTACCTATTCTTCTTGCTCCGCTACTCCTTTTGTATCTGATAATGTTGGGACTCGTCTTTCACCACACGTGCTGCTGGACGACTCTGTTTCTAATTTAGTAATGGGTTCCACCTCAAGATCAAAAAGGATCGATGATATGAAGAGTGAATTAGACACTCTGTTTAAGCAACTAAGCGACATGCGTTCTAAAGTCGAGTCACTTTCTAGCTCTTTATCAAAGCATGATGATCTTAAGCAAGAACTAAAGACACTATCACCTTTAAAACTGCTTTTGTCAAAAGACATCGTTCCTGCGGAACTTGATGACATTATAAAAGCAGAATCTGTTATCGATTTTATCGCTAGTGAAGTTACCAAGCGAATAGTCTCTCGTAATAACGTGATTGTCTATAATATATCTGACAAAGTCTCCATTAAAACTGTAAGGAATTCGATATAAAGCATCTAACCTTCAAGACAGTCCATGCCAATGCATCCGACTTACTAAGAAGCACCAGAAATACTCGTGCCCGGTTTTGTTCAGGTTTGATTCTCATATATTAGCTGAACAGTTAAAAGAATCTGAGCGGCTGATATGCGCGCTTACGAAGTTTAGAAACGCTCGCATATTCTCAGATAAGACCACCAATCAAAGACTTGCGCAAAAACGTGCCGTGAACGAAAATAAAGATGTTGAGATCATAAAAAATCACGATGCATCAGCTGCTGGATCCACTGAGACTGATACCCTATCTCATGTTCTCCAGTACTCTGATCTGCCAACGAAGAGTGCTAACCTACCTATTATGCCTGTAGTGACATCTGATAACCAATGTACATCTACTGATTACACTAATCCGATAGTATCCAATTTACCATTAGAAGCCCATAAGCAAATACATAGTCCTAATGCGACAGCTCTTAAAAACACTGTCAAGATTAAAAAGTCTATGCCACGTAAGAAGAATGTTCGTACAGAACCTTTTGGTTTTAGACCCAATAATAAAAGTATTACGATGGCCCTACTAAATACAAATAAGTCTATACTTCCCGACACCATGCTTTACCCAACGCATCGTAGGGGAGGATACAAGGGTAGACCTGGTTCAAATGTCTCACAAGACGGCTACTTCAATCATTACGTAAGTAGGCCTAAAACTGGACAGACCACAGTAAACCAACGAGCCTCACGAGTACCCTCAAACGTTTTAAATAATAAACCTGTAAGACGTAACCTCTCTCAACACTTTCCCATTAGGCAAGATGGATTACTAGGTTACCCAACATCAAACGTTTTAAATAATATACCAGTAACACGTAACTTTTCTCAACACTTTCCCATTGGGCAAGATGGATTACTGGGTTACTCACCATCAACCCAACCTTGTCTTAACTGTCCGCCTAGTCAAGTTCAACAAATTAATCCGCTTTATCAAAATAATGATTTTTTTGGCCTTCAGAAATCCCTGGTACCACTAGCATTACAATTTGCTCAAGCGATCGCCCATGTGATCAGTCAAACATAATAAACCACAGTCTATCCAAATCCAAAATACACGACATCAATAGGGAATCTCTCGGTTTTTTTACACTACATACGCCCTTTCTAAATCTATTACTTATCAATGCACGTTCACTTCTGAACAAAATTTCAGCCTTGAGAACATTAGCCTTTCTATCCAAGCCTTCTTTCATACTTATCACTGAAACATGGTGCTCTCATGCAGTATCTGATTCAGAATTAAATATCCAAAACTATAGACTCTATCGCTGTGACAGAGAAACTAAGCGAGGAGGTGGTTGTATTATATATGCTTTGGATACCCTAACAACTAATAGAGTTGAAGATAGTGTCCTGAATAGT